TTGAGTATAATAGTAACGCATGATTTCTTTAATAGAATGGTCTTGCTCAAAGTTAAGGCATTATGTCGTGATTCTGGTAAGATTTGGTTTAACAAGATACACGATTACTAAAGACGAACTTATCAGCAGATAGGGGGGTGAGTAAGAGTTATCGTACAGTATACCAATTAATTAGAACTGTCGCTACCGATAAATATTTAGAATACAGTGAAGTCTATACGACAGTAATCCCTCCTAAATAGATATTATTAACGAAATTATTACAAGTACTGAGCTATTATACCAGTTATAATTATGATTCAGTTAGAGTAATTAGTTATCTACTCATCCATTATTATCCGATTAGTCTATATCTAGGTCATTATATTTACACTAAAGTTACGTAATAAAAAACTAACTGTACAAATAACTTGAAAATTAACATTTTTTGCAGGATAGATGCAGCTACTGTACGAAAGAAGTTAGCGATTATCAAAGAAAGAATTTTACTTTAGTGTCTACACATTGATAGATCCACTTTTTCATTGCATTACACTAGTCCTTAAATTTGATTATTTTTGCAAAACTTGTTACTGTTGTAACAAGTTGATGCACATGTCTGCATATGCGTTAAGTGACTCTTTACTCTATGCTCATCGGTTATTATCTTCTGGATTCTGGGTTATACAATACTACTTTTAAGGATTCATTGCTGTTTTTTAATGCCGATATTTAGTGCGCATATCATTGCAATGCATCGACGATATTTAGTGTGCATATCACTGCAATGCATCGTATTTGCTAACCTTTGTTCTGGCATCCTTACAAACGCCAGCCCGTAATAAGATTTCTGCTGTCTTTGTATGACCATGCCTGGCAGCAAAGTGTAAAGGTGACGTGCCAAGCTAAAGTAAAGTAATGGAAAACGAAAATTAGAACTGCTAAACAGTCCATTTATGATCCGTATCAGATAATGAGCTGTGAAGTGCACTCCGATAAAAGATGATATGCCAAGCTAACGAAAATTAAAACTGCTAAATAGCCCATTTATAATCCATATCAGATATTAGGCTGTGAAGTGCACTCGGGTTTATTGTAAGCACAGTTTTTTACGAATAATGTTTTATTCTGCGCATTTCTATATCAAATTTTTAAGGTAATAACGCTAGACTATTGGCAGTAAATAATTATTCACTACCCAATCGGCTTGGAAAGGGGCTCCGGATGTCATCAGTAAGCTGACTTCTTCCTCACGACCTTGGCGAGAAGCATCCAAAAGTTTTTTACCAAGATCTGCTACTGATGAAACTTTACTTTCGTTACCCGCTAGAGAGTTAGCTTTATCTGTAGATTTACGAAAGTAAGTTTTTACAAATAAAATATTAGAAGTGCAATGATTGAGTAGAGAATAGCGAGCTACACACATGGCTGCAGAATTGCAATATTGAATAAAATGTGATCAAAAGGTACATCTTTAACTGATATATAGCTTTTCAAGGTTGATGAATTGTGAGTAGGAAAATAAAGTATTAGTTGAATTGACTCAAGCTAAACTTACTGAATCAGTGATTAATGTCTAAATTAACAGGAAAGTGCTGTACGCGCAGTAGATAATCACAGGCTATTAATAACTTATACGTATATTTACAGCTAACAAAGGCAAGATCATACTACAAGGAAGTACTCCCGCCGAGCCAAGGATCTATGGTAGTGACTACGGTACTTTGATATGACTACGATTTACAACTATTGACTAACTGAGCTGGTATTGTTCCAATAAGTATTGTTGTTTTCTTTCCGTTCGTGATCATTGAGTTAAGTTCGTGATCGAGATTCAATTTTACTGTGCAATAATAAAAATGAACTACGTATCAACAAATTAACCATTGCCATTATTGAAATAAAATATCCGACTGGGAGATATTGTGATTCATACAGAAGTTATGATTACTTCTCAGAGCCCATGAATATACGCGTATACTACGCGTATACTAGACTAGTGATGAAGTTACATCTTCAATCATAGAGGATTGAAGAAGTTATCATGAGCATTATACTTTTACGCATATTTTGATACAATTGTGAAAATTTGAAATTGTTGTCTACAGCTATGTCTACTGTAAGTAAGTATAAATGGACAACAATTGTATGGCGCAGCCTGACGGAAAGTGAATGCATTGGCATACGCATATCTTCTTGTCTACGATTTATTATCTCTTATAATTTAAACACCGACATTATTGAACAATACAACTGCGTCTGTTGACGTCTAAAAGTAGAATGAATACATTAGCACACCTTATGGGCTTCATTAGTTAAAACTAAACTTTAATCTGATAACATTTGAAAACTTTCAAATGAAATATTAAGGGATAATTTGGGAAGAGTTGTGTAGTAATAGCATGCAATAGAGTAAGATTTTCAAAAAATTATAACACACCAGTATTTAGGTGTGCATGTGACTACATTTTTCGACGAGAGAATTTGATTTATGAAAGGAATGATTAATCTACAGTATTCTATACCGACGACGATCATGACTCTCTTCATAGGTGATACTTTTAAATCCTAGTATTTCAATGTACAGTATTTCATTTTCATTGCTTTGTATTCTAGATCGGTATACAACATAGGCGAGTAGCTTAACCTAGTGGGAATAATCGCCTTCCAGGGTTGTTTGTAATAAGTAAACATCCTACTTGCGAATGGACTAGTTAGTAATGATCACAGCTGACTTGAAAATGCACACAAGTGGGTATCAAGAAATAGAAATACAGTAATGTATTATTATGAATAGTGTTTTTAAAAAGTTAATGCATTCTACTTTCTATACCAAATTGCAGATTACAGAATATCATTGTAAAGTAAATAATATCTTAAGATTTATACTTTAAGGTGAAAGATAGAAACAGATCAATTTAATAACATCGATACGCATCCACACATATATTGAACTACTCGTTCACTTGCCATTCTTGCTTTCATGCGGCATCTTGCATTGCAAAGTAGTCACGAATGAATCAAATGTTACGGTTCAAGTGAATATAGAGGAGGAAATATCCTAAAAAAGTACAATTTCAAGATTCATGGTTATCTTGAGAAATACAGAAAAGATTTGATATGTTTACGTTGCTATTGAGACAGTACAGTACTGTAGGGACTATTCATCAGAGAAAATACGGTATATCCGAGTTGGATATTGAGCTATGGTAGATATTGGATGCAACATGGTTACAACTGCTCATGTTATAGATCAACTAAAAATGGTTTTACTATCTGGGGTCCAAACATACATTCATTACACGTTAAGTCGAGTTGAGCCATTAAGTGATACTACTGAAAAATGGTTTAATCTTTGCTTGGACTAACTGTAAATCTCCAAGTATTGGTACAAAATACAAAATATAAAAATAATCAATACAGTCATTTCAGAATTATAGCATTGGAAAAGCTGCAATAATAATGAATAGCCTGTCATTGGAAGATGGCTAGATAAAGTTACCTAATGATTCAATGAAAAAAAAGATACTCTTGTATCGACGACGATTTCTTAACTGTAAAATCAAAATGTTATCATGTCGATAAGGGCATCGTATCATTTAAAAAGTAAAGTACAGTAGTTGATGATCACCTTGATATTGGTATTTTGGACTGGGAATAGCGAGTTGTGACACAGTCAATCACTCATACGTTTACACGTACCTTCTTTTACAAGGCAATCGTTTTCAATTGTCTGATCCACAATCTTAATTCACGGCTACTTGGACAGGTTAACTGCGTGATCATAACCAGATTTGGAAATAAATTGTTACTTGAATATTATGCTATAGAAACGTTTCATTTTCTAGAATTTTCACTTCAAATTCCTTTCTTACAAAGTGATGGCACTCACACTGGCGCTGTCTGACATCTGCGGACTGTAGAGTATCCGGTACGGCCTTTCATCGATTTACACTCCTCCTACAGTATACAGTACAGTCGGTAACCAGAGTGCAATACTGTAAAGTGTATAGTGTACGTGTCTACTGTCTACAGTATACTACCGTGTCACGAACGACGGAAAAGAAAGAACTTTCTTTCAAAAAAGTGACAAAAATGGCTGTTTGTCAAGGGTTTTTTACTGGTAAAGACACCATGACGTCAGCTAACTCAGATACAGAAAATGGGATTTAGCGTCTAGGGTTAGGATTAGGCTTTGGCTAAAGAATTACTACTACTACAGTATTGCCTTCATTGAAGTTGGCTTGCCATTCTAAGGCTTGTCCACCGTCTGAAGACAGATGGCTAGACGGACACCGATCTTGAAATGATCAATTGAATGCAATATACTGTACTCTACAGTATGTCCAATTCAGGGCAAGTACTGTACTGTACTGTACTTGTGAGCATGTCAACCCGATTAACCAGAATACGGTACGTGCAGTTGGACTATGGACCAGAATGTGGAAAAAGAGTAACTTGTAGTATGGATCTTCTGTATCTTTTTTCTTACTCTCTACCATGAATATGGATAACGTTATGCAACTGTTTTCAAGCAGAAATGATTGAAAATAAAACAGGATTCAATGAAATATTACTTACAGTTAATCTGTGGAAATAAGTCTATGACGGAATGGAGATATTGGCGAGTGGAAATTGTAGCAAAAATTTAAAGACGATCCAGCATCTGTCCACAAGTCCGACCGTCTGAAGATATTCCAGTCTGTACTACTACCCAGTTTAGTCCATGTGCCACCAACGTCTCTGACATAATACTCTCCATCATACTGTATAAGTACTATTTGCTGCTGAGTCAGCAGCAACCTTTACTCGATTTCACAGATTGGACCTCAACTTCCATTCATCTTGTTCGTCGGGCTGGTGGTTGGATTAAACTCTTGTCCTATTTCATTTTTGTATCGAATTTGCTACTCATTTCAACGTCTTGAAATTGCTGAATTCTGCCTCTTACCCTTAACCAGCGCCGTATACTTGTTATTAGTTGTTAATTTAATTGTCAACCTACTTCCTTCAAGTCAGCAATGACAGGAATACTTGCAAAGTTGCCTGCCTATGTAAAAGGAACGGTGGTCAAAGGCTTCGGTCGAGGCAGCAAAGAGTTAGGGATTCCAACAGGTACTGCATGTTGATCATGAAGTAATAGACAATCTACCCTATACAGTCAACTCTTATCAGTCCTACGTTAAGTTAATACGTTAATTTAGTCTGCTAAGTCATTTGCACCTTTCAAGATTGTTAACTGATACTTGTGATTCTGATCCTTTATGCCACAGTAGTAAATAACAATAAAGTGTGTTATAATTAATTTATTAATCATTATTATTGCCAATGTTGTTTCAGCAAAGCGTACAAAAATCCATGTTGAAGGGATAGGCCCTATTGCTCATGTTACTATTTACAAATAGTTTCTCAAGATTGTACTTCACTAGCACTAGTGATTACTGCTGTAGAATAAAAGAAGGTGCAAATAATCTGATCAAAATGACTTCAATTAACTGACCGAGATCATTTTCAAGATCTGTATACAGTACACTTATAATTCAATACATAATGTCAAGTCAAAGCTTTGCTGCATTTATAGTTAATGGCCAAGATCTTGTACTTTGGACTATTAAATAGTGCAATACTGTACAGTGTACGCGTATAAACCATTCACATCGATTTATCGCTCAACTCGATCATATCACTTTTAATCTTAGATATACAAGTCATATATATTTAACTCTTGATTCGAATTCATAGTCCAGAAGATTATATATTCAGATGCGATGCACTGGATGCTCATCGAAATCAAAGCATTCGTACTAGTACTGTGTATAAGTCATTGTTGGGACGTATTACTGCATATCATAGGTAGCCTGTATCTGTGTCTACATATCGCAGTATACGTAAACTCTAAAAACAAGTTACTACAGTAGTTACCAACTAACTTAGTGCAGCCTTTAGAGGCGCCTAGGGGCCATATATCGTTGCGCCAGCTCATTCACCTTGGCATGAAGGTGAATACTGTAGTGCAAACCAATTGTATGTCTTAAAATTTTAGCCTCTACTAAATTTTGATATTCTCGAAAATTCAACATCAACAGTAAAATAAAATAAATAAATGCAGAATTGATTGTAGTAAATATTAAGCTTGACCATGGCAGTGAATTAAACAGAATTTCTTGAAATTAATTTTCTTCTTGTTCTATTGCACTAATCATACGTAGCGAACTTTTCGGAAAATGTAATGGAATCATTAGCTGGAGATACTGGAAATGGAATATATTTTGGCCTAGCGGCGGTTGATGACAGTCCGGTTCATAAAATGGTAATGAGCATTGGCTGGAATCCATACTATAAAAATACCAAAAAGACCATGGTAAGCTCGTTCAAAATCATTATCGGTGTTGGTAGCGGATACCTTTATTCGTTTTGCTATTATTTACCTAGCTAAAACTACTTACAAGATCGTAACTTGATAATACACCAACACTTGATCATACGAATATACTAAATTCATAGCCAAATTGGCTTTCTATCTTGTAATTTAATGAATTGAATTAAATATCAACTATTTTGCTTATAGGAGGTACATGTAATTCATGACTTTGAAAATGATTTCTATGGTTCGGAGCTACGGGTTATTGTACTAGGACACATTAGACCAGAAAAGGATTTTTCTTCCCTAGGTAAGAATTGAAAGTAGTGTTACTACAGTATCTGGCTTTGTTTTATCCGCCTTGGAAAGTGAAAGGGTTTAGATTTCTACCTTGAAGGCACAACTTTACGAGTTACTTTAACAAGATGCCATTTCTTATGTGATTCAGTAACTAGTTATTAGATCATATCGTAATAGTCCTCAGTATTCGTTGTAACACTTCCTATTTGATTCTAGCTACCATTACGTAAGCATCGCAATGATACATTACAGTAAATACTGTCTGTACAGCCAAATATGGATTTTGCTAACAATTTACTTGAGGCAATTCTTACTGCACTCTGACGTTACTTCAGTAACGTCTATCGGTGTGAAAGTACTTTGTTATCCATTCTGAGTAATATTTCTTCTATTCTATGATGATATAGACCAGCTTATTGCCGAAATACACAATGATATCAGAATTGCAAAAAGTAGATTAGAAGAACCAACTTTCAAAGCATACTATGAAGATCCATTTCTGACTAAGAACTCTACGAATAAATAGATTGATTATATTATTAATTATTGGTGTGCCATATCCAGCAAAAACACAGTGAACGTAATTGATTTTCGAGATTGGATTAATTCTATAATGATTGAAATATCGCACAAGGTATCATAATTTTAATCGCTTGTAGACTTAAGCCAAATAATAATGAGTTTGATTTGACCTAAATTTTTACGTAAAATATCTCCGTTACTGTCTGGTACGGGTGATGCAAATCTAAATAAGAAAATAGCGCACAATAATGTTTGAAAAGTTATTATGTTCGGTAATGTTACAGTATCTTAAGTAACATTAAAAAAATTTTTTAATTACTATAATATAATTGTTGATATTATTCCAATTCATTTTTTTATATAATTTATTTCGCTGTAAATTAACAATAAATGTAGTGGGTTTGAAACTGCTGTAACTTCAATTTCGCGATATTACAGAACTTTTGGCACATCAAAACCCGTGACAAAGCCTTGCACTACAGGCTCAATCTCATTAGCATACCGTATTGATTGAAAGCGTCGCTTCATCGGGTCAGCTCTCACGCTATTATACTGTAATATAGTTAGATTTCTAAGGTGAGAGCGATTGCACACCATTCGTTAATTTACACTTTACGCTATTGGAGGCTGAGATAAAAATCTAAAAATATCTCACACTTTCGAATAAGTTACAAGACGATGACATGCCATTATGCTTATTTACCGATAAATTAGTCAGATGCTATACTGTGCACAACATTAGAACGCATATAAATTATAGCAAATTTCTATGAATGATGTCACTCGCAGAAGTGTTCAGGAATGTCCATAGACCTTTATTTTATAATATTTTGGCGAACAAAAGAAGGAAATTTTCACTCTATTTCAGGTTAACTTGCTAAGTTCAGCATAAAGGTGCAATTCAATAGTATATTTGCAAATAATTATTTAATTCCAAATAGGACGAAAATACTTTATCTATAACAACTGCAACAACATAATTGTTAAAATACTATAAACAGTCCTCAAAAAACCATTTGATGCATATGTAAAAACTTCAATTAGAACTTAGGGTGATCACTAAGGGAGTAAATTTAAATAGTATTCATGACACTCCAAACACATCTGAAAGTCTTACTGGCCGTGAATATGTGTGCTTTGTAACTGAATAATGGGCTAATTACCGTTACTAAGTGATTTGGGAAATAAGCCTTGCCGAACATAGTCCTGTAAAATCTAGTGAAGTAAATCGTGTAATAGCATACCATAAAATAAGATATTTTCATATTCGATGCACAAATATAATAAGAAAAAGCTTAGTAATGAATGTGTGTATTACATACCATTCTCAAAGATTCCGTAGTTAAATTTGGATACTCGTATGTAAATCCTGATTTCTCAATTTTTGAGCCATCAACATATAAATGTTTGTTGTATAATAACTCCTAAATACATTAAGAGTCCAACATATAATAAGATAGTATGCTATGTTAGCAGACAAAACGATAACAATAGTAGTGGTACGCGTACTTTACAAATTTCTTATACAAATTAGCTATTTTGAGCGAAATATGAAGAATTTTACTTACCTGATCTAAGTAAGGGCTTAACGGTGTATTCGTAATGTTATCTCTTTTGCAAGCCTTTGACCACGGTTCCATGTGCTTTTCATTTGATTCTTCCGAAATAGTGGAAATTCCTAGCTACAGTGAAAAGATCCGAAAATATATAACCTGTTACGACTCTGAATACGCCTACTGTGAACGATTTGTTTCACTAAATTTCTATATTTTATTCGTACGTATTTCAATTTACCGAAGCTAAATTTGACATAACGGTATTAAAGTAGTCGTGCTTTATTCCAAATATCTCCGATATACATTGACTGATAAAACCTTGAGCTAAGCATATGCAAAAACAACAAACAAAAAATTAATATCTTAACAATAAATAAATTGCATGTAATTATACAGTAGCCTCCAAATTGAAAGTCAACTTGATTTCGTAGACTTCCAAACTTAAACTAACTTGTATCTCCCTTATCAGCTAAATTGTAAACTTCGCCTTTTTTTCCATGTATACATACATGCCAAATTGCACGGCACACATCGTGAACATGTACCGTGTTCAATCGGAGATCACGTCCCCACAATAACTATATAAAAGTCAGAAAATAAAATTTAAATTTAAAAAAAATTTGTTGCTATGCCTTAAGTATACTATATTATATCATAGCAATCCAATGCCAAGAACCTTCATCTTTTCATCTAGTTCTTTGTACACAGCTCCGATAATCAAGCGTGGTGCTAATCGGAACAAAACGTTACATTGTAAGTATGAGTCGTAACTATATTTGTTAAATTATTTCAATATAGCCATTTCTAGTACGGACAGATTAAGAATTAAGGCAGCAAAAGTAGAGCAAGCATACTTAAGCTTTGGCGGTCTCCAAGACCATAAATAATTGCTGGTCTCAAAATTGCGTAATTTAGTCTGTCAATTGTAAAATTTAGGTGCCATATATACCAAAAGTTAATACTTTATAAAGATTTTAATTGTTTATATGTACATATATTCGCATAATAAGTATATTTATCAAGTATCACCTACCCTGAGATACTTTCCAACCCCTTTTCTGCTTTTAACTTATATTTTGCTATTCCTGTCCACGGATTGAGTTTAGATTCTTCATTACTTCTTTTCTATAATTACCAAGTAGGTAGAAATATTAAAAAGGTTGATTTACTAATTTATATTTAGCATTATGAAAGCATTTCAAACTGCTTTGAGATAGGCACAGCCTATTTATTACCTTGTCGCTACTGTAAACTTGAGCCGTTGATAGCTCAATGAATAAATGATGATTGTGCTTTGCAACTTCCTTAGCAGCAAGTAAGCTCAAGCGATAAATCCCTTCTTCGTATACCTGCACAATATGTGTATGTGTACCAATATAGAAGTAATGGAATGCGTTACCAAAAAAGTAAGAAATCGTGAGATAGCGAATGAGTATCAATTACTAAAATACAAGTTATCAGCTTACAGAATTGTCTTGACCGTATCTGGTAGCAGCGGCACAATTTATAATGAATTCAAATTCGCCTTCTTCACAAGTAAATACTTTTTCTAGAGATGCTAATGACAGCAATATGTTTGTTATTCTCATGATTTTATAGGAATTAGGGTTTTATTTTTTATGAGATTAAACACAGTTGCGTACCCTCATTTAAAAGATTAACGGACTTGAATTTTACTCTTTCATCTGAAATGGCCGCCTAAAATTTTATTGCATACGAAAGAATGAATAAAAACGATATAAGCGGCCGCACAAATTTGGCTAAGTTAAGTTATTTAAAAATGTAGCCACATCGTCCATTCAATGCGTTGTCTTAAAGTTATTTCAAACCTTGTGAATATCGTTAAGCCACGCCATTTCAGGTGGAACTTTGTCAGCTAAGCAGATCTATAAAGTATCAATTTTAGAAATAAATAGTGTTACTAACTGAAGGTGCCTAATGGCTACATCTTTTATTAGCATGATCTGTAATACTATCTCAAAAAACTAGTCAGCTACACCCTAATTAAGACCTCAAGAAATATATTCGCTATGATGGCGGTTATATAATACGTATGAAAGAGTACGCATATAAATAAGGATCGCATACTAAAATATTAACCCATTTCAGTATATTTGTAGATTCCAGTATCAATACTAACCTTGGAAACCAAATCATTTTTAATCAAATAGGTAGCTAAATTTCGACCCACAAATCCAGTACCTAACCAAAACAGTACCAGAATAAAAGATTTAGAAATTTTAATCTATTCGTCTGTAAAGGTTTGTTTCATAAGGTCAAGTAAATCTTTTCCACTATACAATGGTATTCAGTACTTTAGTTCTACTGTATAAGAAGGACAGACAACTCCATGATGATTAATTAATTATCACATGCACATCAAGCTTTCAATGGCGTAATATGATATACTTTATTAGATATTCATGAGATCGCATATTTATCCGGATCATTGTATCACCGTAGCACAGTGGAGATGCGCATGGTAGATCATGACAGTACTGCAGTATCTGTTACTGTATGATTGCGTATCATTGCATTGTATATATATAAATTTATTGACTGATTTATGGATTACAATCATGAAATCTTGTCAAGTAGCCCAAACGTGGCATCAAAACGAAACGCATAACAGATCGATATACTTGCATGATCACTTCTTGAATGAGAATACAACACGAAAGTGAAAAGCAAGAAGATAAGCTCTTGGACCTCAACGGTTTTTAGCTCCTATTATGTCATGGGTTACAGATTCAACATTTCAAAACACACTGATGCAATTTTAATTATTGTTAAGCATTCCCATGATTACCAGACCTAGTCATTTCCATATGACTTATCCAAAAATGTTGTTGAAACGACTCAACGTATATTTTCAATACACTTGTCTAAACAGTTCTGTCATGAAGGTATAGAGGCGTTTCAGCAGCATTTTTGGATATGTCGCTAGGAAATGACTGAAGTCTAAGGGTTAGGATATTGGTACGCGAATTAGCTTATTGGGGTAAACGCCGAAAATAAATAAAGCTTACTTTCATAAGCTATACAGTATACTACACGAGTATACACGTATATAATGCTCATGGCAGAGATCCGGATTAATTTCATAACCATCGCTAGTCAACAATTACAAAATATTGATACACATACAGTAGTTAGACTAGTAAGTAGTAACTACCCTATGAGAAAAATACATTGTTTACAATCAAAGCTACGCTAGTCGCTAAGTTCGTTTTAAACTCCACAGTTGTATCATAATCATTCCATTTTACTTTTCACTTGTAATCATAGCGCTACTGTATACTGTAACTATGCTAAGACCAATTCTCATCGGGGTAAAGATTAATTAACTATTTAGTGGATAATTTTCTACAATAACAGGCCTTCATCCATCAGAAGATCCATGATGATTGATATTTTTTAGGCGTTTTATTCATCCTTTTTAGTTTGTACTATTCCGTATAGCGAATGAAAGGGATGGAATTGTACTGTACTGTAAAACCAACGAGGCAAAGGTAAAAAGAAAGAAAAGAGGAAAAAGCCTAGGCGGACTCTGTACAGTATAAGTATAGGAGAGTATGTTTCTTTTTACTATTTTCTTTTTTTGTTTTCAGTGACGCAAACAAGAACAGCCAATACAAAAGATTTTAACGAGTTTTTCCTTACTTACTACAGTTCAAATTATTCTCTATTCATTCTACAGTTCTAGTCAGTTATGTCTAGAGGGCGATTACTTCAATTCATACAATGCGAGACAGTATTAATTGAATTATGGCACAAAAGAGAAAGTAAAAATGGAAAAGTTTCAAGTATCTTTCGCTACATCTCGCTCTAATTAAAGATATGTAAAAATTGATATATCGCACTATAGTTCGTTAACGTTTGTTAAGACGACGACAATTGGATCAAAAAAACTACTGTAAATGCTCAAATTGAGAAAAAGTGTAAAATTCATCAATGCTTTCAAGCCTTGCATTTCGTAAGCAACAAAACGATTATCGAGCCTTGAGCGATACCCTAGCCATTGCACTGTAACATAGCGCTTTGTCCTTGATGTTTGTATAAAGTTACCAAATGATAAGTAAGATCGCTTTATTCGGTAAAC